ATTTTAAAGAGAGACTTTATTTAAAAAAAAAAATTAAGCTCTTTTAGATAAATGCTGAAAGTTTTTATTAAAATCCAATAATTAGATGAATCTTGGAAGATTTTTATAAATCAACATGTTTTTATGACCAAAAACAGACTGATATTTTATGACAACAATGTTTACACAAAGTAAAAAAAGATTTTTCAATGCAAAAGTATCCAGAATTATATAAATATAGAAATGATTGCTATATCAGAATTGTTTTCTGTTCTTTCTGCTTTTGATTAGCAAAAAACAAAAATTGATCATAAAATTAAGTTTTAACATGTTTCATAGCTTTTTATTCAGGTGTCAAATTTCCACAATAAAATTTGGGTATAATTAACTTTTATGCATAATATAATAAGAGAGAATAATTCTCATGTGAAATATGATTCATTTGGTTAGGTGAAGAAGTAAGCCTGCTAAATGCTAATCTATCCTTAATAAAGAAAACAGTAAAAGAAATCAGGTTCTCTATTTATAGGAACAAAGTTTCAAAAGTTTATGAAAGAAACATTAAAAGCTTAAGTTATTAATACTTTCCTTCCACTTGCACGATCAAACAAAATATGATTTTAGGCTTTAACAAATATAATGTTGGAGTAAGTATTTTTAATTAATTTGTTTATTTGATATACTTCTAGATTCGAGATGAGAAATTATCATTATGTCTTTCAATTCAGACTAGTATATTCACTTTGTTACACTCACATCATTTCAGTTGTTATAAAAGGTGATGAAAAAAACCTTAAAAACAGGAAGGCAAAGAGTAACACATACGTATTGCTTGCTTCAATGACCCGTTTCAATAAGAAATTTTTAGATGAACTTGAAGCTACTAAAACAGGTGACAAATGTGTGCAGAAGGCCTTGCAGATAGCATCTGGACATATCAAGGAAGAACCAGAAAGCCCCATCAGCAACTCCACCACTATCACCCCCAAAGTGGCATCAAAGGAGAAAGGCTTGGCTAAGTTACTGAGAAAGAAGGCAGTAGAAAGGTGAAGAGTGTCAGAATACTACTACCATAGTATATAGTGTGAGATCAGGATCTTCCTGTCTCTGCCACCCAGGATCCACAAGTGATGGAGGGGCCATGCATTAAAATTTCCTCACCTTGCCAAGATTGCAAAATTGTTTTTGTGCATCCCAGCAAGAAAGTGTTCAATGCCAGTGAATATATTGTCTCTGTTCACAGACTAATGCATAAACCAGACAAACTAATTAGGCTAACAATCTTCCATTTCAAAGATGCCATCTATTCAGGTATGACCAGTGTTGTAAAATCTACGGAAGTTTGGATCATTAGACAAAAATTTCTCTTCTTCATGGTTGTTTTTCTTATATGCAATGTGCACCAAATGTAGTTACCGCTTATGCCTATATAGTTTCATGAGGCAACCTTTAATGTTAATGCATAATCACATATGATATTATTAGTATTATTATCTTCTTTTGTTTTCTGTTCAAGATAATTCCTTGCTAGGTTATTACCAAAGACCTGGACTAAGGCAAGATAATAAATATATGGATTCTGCTTGCAAAAATTCTGATGTTAAAATACTCTTTCTGGTATCATTCTGAGTATAAGTATTGCATTCCTTGTTCCAATGTCTTTAATGAAACTACACTGTTCTTGTCCTATTTTTAGTTTAATTCTGTTTCACATTGCATTCATCTGAATTCAGATGGTAAGTTTCATTATGTGGCTCATTAGGCTGACTGTCCAATGGAGCTCACATTAATTTACATCTGGCTTCTTAGCCAGCACTATGAAAAATGGATATACTATCACCACTTCATATATTTCATTATTTTGTCAATACTAATATTATCTCAGGTTGCCAGTATCTCTATTACATTCCCATCTGGTCCTATTGCTTTGTTCCTGTTCATCTTGGCCAGTGCTGATTTCACTTCAGACTTAAATATTCTTGGTCCTTTTATATTTTTGTGTATTGCAAGGTTTTCCTTTTTTATCATGAAAGTTCTGATGTATTTATTCCATCATTGAAGTATATTTTATTTCTCCATTATCAATGTTCCTTCTTCGGATTTAATGCACCCTATTGAGAAGCACATCTTTTGTCCTGTTATTTCTCTTATTTTGTATACATATCTGCCTATCTGTGATGCTCATTTTATTTCTACACACTTTTCCTTGAGCCATTCCTCTGTTTCCTGCCTGCATTTTTTTTTGTGGAATGTACTATATTGTGTAGTATACCTTGGCATTGTTTGCTGTTTTCTTTTCATCATGTCACAAATTTAATCTGTCATCCATTCCTTTTTTTCCTCATCTACCTTTCCTTAATGTGTCTCACTTCAAATTTCTATTCTCATTTAGTTCATTGTATTTACTTTTGATTCTGTCAGTAAAAAATCTCTTTTGCAATTCAGGTCATTCAGAGATCTGTTGTATTGTAATTTGCATGCTGCTTTGGTGTTCTTTAATCTCTATAGTTTTATTCTAAGATTGCATATCACTGGAAGGTAGTCACATCCACAGTTGGTAATTGGATGTGTATTACAGTGTAAAACTGCATTCCTGAATCTCATTGATCATTATGCAGTCAAACGGGTTTTTGATTTTGTTGTTTTTTTTGTTCTTGTTTTTTTTTAATTGTTTAACCCTTGTGTCTTAGAATTCATTTTTACAATTTCAGTTGCATATTAATCTGATTGTTTTAGTGTTTTTGCCATACCATTCCTAATTTATTTGTCAAAATGATTTCAGTACAGTAGTTTATTATTACATAAATACTGAGGTCATACTGTTATCTATGAAAATTTTGGCCACAATAATGTGAGGATATAAACTTTTCATATAATATACTCTCTCTCTCGGCCATTACTACTCCAGATGGGAAAATGATGTAAGACTTAGCTGACAGTTCAATATAAAATCCTTTGGGCATTATGGTTATGTATTTTTCATTGAATGACTACTGTGTTTTTGAAAAATGAGAAGATAAACCAATGAAATGAATGATTCAGCCAGAGAATGAATATTGAAAGTGTTTGTAGCAATATGTTGGCTGATAATAGCATCCACAAGGCCAAAAGTTGAGAATGATAATTTGCCAGCAGATAAATAGAAAACTTTAAATGGTTTTGAATACAAAGCAAAAAGAATGTCTCCAGAAAAAAATAAGTAATGATTTTCATTAAAATAATTTTTTTTCTCTTGTTCTTTAAATATTTCTTCATAAATACAAAATTCAATCTGTAGGAGTGTACATTTTCTTAGTTGCTCTTTAATATGTATGTTATTATTCCACCAATATATAAACAACATACATAAGGATCATACACTGCAGTATTTATTTGTTAGCATACATTTTCTGTCTTGGCATTTCTTTGTCATTGAACACACGATTAATATATCAGGATAGCATTAGGAAGACAAACTGCATAACATATACTTTTCAGAAATCATTGTATTTTTTATCCAAAATTATTTTCTACTACTCCAAACATTACTTTGTGGTATGGATAATTTTGTTCTTGCCAAGTTCACTGTGTTGCTGTATTGATTAAATGTTGTCAGTATAATAAACAAGATTTTGTTGACTACATCCTGGCATTTTAAAAATGTTAGAATTCAACTTCAAATATATATATGCTATCATACTGAATAATGACATGGAAAATAGTTTCAGAGAACTTGACAGCACTGGAAAATGAATGTCTCAGTTATTTTAGGTGTATTATTATTATTTTATATGCATATTATATAATTGTCTCCTACTTTAAAATGCCATCTCCTATGGGGAAAATATTTAATGTGAATTGTTTCTTTTGTATAATAATAATTTTGAATTAGATGTTTAAAGTCTTAATGTTAAGGAAAATATAGGCATAGTAATACAAAACAATCATTCCTTATTCTCATCTAATATTAAACTGACAATTCTACTTGAACTTCTATCTTCTGTGTTATGCAATAACACATATCCTTTTTTATGAAAATTATGGTATCACAGACTGAAAGCAATGGGTTCACCTCCTGGTCACATTTCATCCAATTTCTATATAATTCATGTAGAAAAAAATCTTTAATAATTTAACCAAACCTATATGTTCAATATATTCATGTCACATTCATACTAATGACAAACCTTGATAAAAATTATACTTTAAAGAAACTTTGGAAAAACTCCATTCTACATTACAAACTTAACATTAATAAAATTACCCATTACCTTGACATTTTAGCAGATACTAACTCATAATTTCACTAGTTCATTGCATAAAAGTGAAAATTTTTGTGTTAATTACAAAAGTGAATGTCCTCACAGATACAAAATACCTGTTATAAAATACATTAAGTGAGCAAAACAATAATTGAGCAACAAAGCAAACACTTATCAACAATAATTTCCCTAACCATGTTGCTAACAAGACAATAAAATCTGATTTTAAAAGTTAAAAAATAACACAATCTTGATATAAACAAAAATAAAAAAATTAACTTATTCTTATATAACCAAAATATAAAAAAAATTAAAAAAAAAAACATTAAAAATACTATCTGAAATGCTATGAAGAACTAGATGTTTTCAGTATTATAGACAAGAGTTTGTTAGTTACATCCTATCATTTTGGATAACATTACATTTCAAATTTAAGTATACATCTATCATATGAGTGAAATTATAAAAAGAATGGTATATATATTAAATTTGTAATTATATTTTTACAAATGAAAAGTCATTTTTTTAAAATCAAATGTAAAATTTTGTAAAAAAATTAGTGTTTCCTTTTTCTTTTAGGATGTTAGGAGTTTTTAAAATCTGCTTGCTTCATTTTTATAAATATATAAATGTGGGGGTAGGGAATAGAAATTTTGCATGTACATTTAGCATACAAACATGTCCAATGTATATAATGACAAAGGAAGAATCTAATTTATTTTTAACATCTTAATGAATTATATAGGAATTAAAAGCAACAAAGTATATCATGCAACCCACCTGAAAATTTTCAAATCCAAAAATATCCAAAATTCCAGCAAATCTTGAACGATTTGTTCCAGGGTTGATGCATTTGTTTATACTATCTACTAACCAAGCAAATGTCCGGGAGTATAATGCTTTTGCCATAGCATGACGATTTTCACTTGACTGGAACAAAACAGAAGTAAAAAAAAATATTGTTAAATAATTTGCATTAGATAATTTTAATTACAACATTAAGTAAATATAAGTGTAATAAATGAATTTTCAATGCAATAAGGAATAATTCACAGAAAATATTTTGGAATGGTATCTATGTCTAATTGATCATGTTTAGTAATTACTAAATTGATATTGGTGGTTATTTATGACAATTGGTGGGAGTAATCTTCCATGATTGTTGCAGGCTCTCAGACAGTTTGTGAGGGCAATATATTTCACCTTTGGCTTGCTAAAGTGGGTTTGGCAGCTACAGGAAACCTCAGCCTTGTGATGCTAATTCTTTTTTTCAGCCACCTTTTTTGATTTGTTTTTTTGTTTTTTTTGTATCTTGATTCTGTGAAGAATGTTGCTTGATCTTGCATCTCATATCAACAGCTTCTCCTTCTCACTTATTGTGGTCGTCCAAGGAGATGAAATGCATTATCAGGAAGTCTTTGTATCTCTTCATTGAGGCACCACTTCTCCATCAGCCAGATGTTAGTTCTGTTAATAGTTCTTCCATCTTTACCATGTGGCCAGCCCATTGCAGTTGTATCTTTTGTGTTACTGTTGCACTACTTGTAGCATTAGAGTCTACAGGGATAATGCCCTTTTAAAGTGGTGTGAAGACAATACTGATGAAAGCACTCAAATAGGCTCAGGTGATATGGTTCCAGGACTTGGTTCCATATAGAAAGTTTACCTGTCAGATGGTTTTATAAACCTTGATTTTGTGTTTTTTGTAAGGTTTCTGTTGTCCCAAGCACATTTGTGTTGTCTACCAAAGTCATGATTAGCCTCAGCCAATCTATTAGTATTTTCCCTGGCATCAGGAAATATGCTGCTGTTTTGGTTAGTGAGATCCTATTTTACTACTAATTTTCTTTGGTTGATGGAAGATGGTTAATATGTTTGGTTTGGTGCAGGTTAGTGAAGAATGTGTTGTTTTAAGAAGGCTGATCTCAATGCCAAAGAGTGCTGTTGCCTTTGCCATGTAGGATGTTACTTGCTAGAGTGCTGCTTTGGTGTGAGCAATCACAGTTGATCATCTATGAAGAGGAACTGATTCACTGCACCATAATTTTCATGAGGACCTGAATTTGTTTTAGGTTGAACAAACTGACAGTTTTATATGCATGGATATACACATTATCTGTGTTATATATATCTTCTATAACTTGTTTTAACATCAGACTAAAGAATATTGAAAACAGTTTTGATGTCAAACATTGACTTGTTTGATGTCATTTTTTATACTTAATTTCATAATTTCTCTTGATATTGGCATCTCATCCAGCTGGTCATTGTGTGATACAGTTATTGCCGATTCTTATGTTATGTGATTTGTCCTGAAGAGAATGTGTAAGTGCCATTAATTTTCAATCGAATTTCTGTTTGTATAGATTAATGAGCCGTCTGAACCACATAATCAGTTTGGAGCTTTGTAGATCGGGACATATACTACCTTTAATGTTTGGTAAAAATCTGAGGTCACCAATACAAGCACAAAATTGAGTTGCACTGATGATGTAATACTAATGATATAACTGCTGCTATCATTATTGTCTGAACAATAGCTATGAGATCTGTTTCTAATATCTTGTGTTTTGTCAGAAACCAGACAAAGTTAAAATTAAAGCTTTTTAATCTTTTTTTGTCATTGTTTGAACTAAGTTTATTCATTTGGTACATATGTATATAAAATAATTTTAAACTAATTCCCATTGTCTTTCACAGTGACATGAACACAAAATGAGTTTCCTAACCATTAAAATTTGAGTTAGTTAAAAACAAAGCAGAAAAACTAATTCTTCCAAAGCACACACACACACACACACACTTCCTCCTCCTTCTCTCTTTTCATACACTGGGGATAACTCTTTGCATCTGATGAAAAAGAAAAACTATCAATGAAAATATTTTAACTATGAAAATGATGTCCAATTATGAAAGTAAGTGCAGTATGGATTATTTATCAGGTTATAAATTTATTTAAAATAGATTTAAAATACAAGCAAAAAATTTCATTTTTTCCTTTATTTTTATTGTAATTGAATTTATTTTGTTTTTTGTTTTTTATTAAAAAAGATACAATTCAACAATGAAAATGTTTTAACAGGAAAAAGATAGAAGGATAGTTCTAAAGTGGATTTACTGAAATATTTTAACAGATAGTTTTAAAATACTTTCCAATTAAAGGAAAACATAAAAATCTAAAGAAATAATACTCCTGTCATCTTCATTTCTGTGATTATTGCATTAATTTTTCAAGGAATAAATAACTTCAATACAAACAAGTAACAAAAAATTATTTTTCTTCTTTTTTCACACTTTATTTATCTTCTCATGTGAAGCCTCAGACCTCTTAAAGAGACCACTTGATATTTACAAGTATAATTAAATAAACATATTGGACATTACTACTACAACTATTACAGTGTGGAGAATCAACAATTTAGATTACCTTTCAAGCCATAAAGCTTTGAATGATGAATAGAGTAGTTGATATGTCCAATAAATTACAATAATTAGCTTCCTAAAAATTTATATTTGGAAGATATTTTAACATCATGATACATGAAGACATCACGAGGGTGTCTGCAAATAATGGTTTTTCAAAAAGAAATTCTAACATTTTACAGGACTATATATGTCCAGCAGGTTTGCATTAGTTGAATGACAAAAAAGCAAAAAACACACATACTTAACAGCTCACCAGCAAAATTAAGAAACCACTTTAATAATCAGCTTTAATCCAAGTCATGATCTCTTACCAATTTATGCAAAGTACTTCAGCTAATTACTACATATAATAGTGTTTTATGGAAATCTATAACAAAGTGGAAAAGTTTTCATGTGAGGCATTTCATCCTTTAGGACATCATCAGACTCAATGATCATAGAAAAAAAATAATTTCACACAAAAACTTTTCTACTTTTTCATAGATTCCATAAAAATTTATATATTGTTTTCCCATATAATATTATTTTGAGCTAGCTCCACTCAATAAGACTATCACAAATCTAGCATTTTACCTCTAAGAGCTAACAGTATAAGTTTCCTAAATACATTAACATATATATCCAATATACTAATTCACATTATAAAAGAATTTCTAAATTTTTAAAATTTACTCATCTTTTTAAATAAAAATGAATATTATTTTAGTCATCATGTATTAAAATGTTTTCATCAGTCATCTCAAAAGTACTTAGGTATGTATGCTCTATGATAAAACTGTTTCCCAGCAGAGGAAGGTAATATTACTGCTACAAAGGTGTTACAATTCTAATGAGTCTATAAAAATTATAGTGATTTAAGATATAGTATAGGAAAGAATGATGAGATTATTAAAACAAATGAGTTACTGACAAATCTAACTTTACTAAATGATATTTATTAAATTGCCATTGCTATTCTTTTATCAAAAAGGTTTATAATGTTTTTATTTTCTTAATATAGTCTTATTAACTAAGCTTTACAAGGACATTTTCTTAAAAAATATTTACTGGCTAGATCACAGAAATTATGTTTTGGAGATATTCACATCACCACCAGTGACAATCTGAAACAAAGGATAAAACTATTGGTTTTGTAATTGATATTTAAAATGTTCTCTAGCTTTGGGCTCATTATTTAAAAGCATAAATACTGTTTTATACACCACAAAGACTATTGTTTTAAAATGTAATCACAAGCATGAGATATTGTTTTGACTAGAAAGGATCTAGCTTCATTCTGCAAATAACAACAGTACAGACTAACTGTATGTTCCATGAATGTGACCTAGTGTTAAAATTGAACATATATATTTTTATACCATTTTACTTTAAGGCAATTGTTTATAAAATTTGCATAATTTGTATTCTTTTAGTATTAATTTGGCTTGGTACCAATACCCATTCCTCAAGCTACTCTATAAGAATATGAGAATTAATTGGTACTTAAATGTTTGAAACATTTGGTTGCATTATACAATCTTCCCTCAACAAATAAGTAACTGGTAAATAAGTATGATGAAAATAAATTCTTATGATTTAGAGAATAAGGTATATTTGTCATTTCTTACCTCAAATGGATAATTGTTGAATTAAACTGACTTATAAAACTAACACTAGCACTGCTTTATGGTTTGCAAAAAAACGATTTTTTTAAATGAATATTTGACAAAGCTAATTGTGTTACAGGACCAGATTCACTAAATATCCAGTGAAGAACAAATTTCAAGCCAAATTCTGTTGTTGAAAAGCCTCTTCATAGCAAGTTATTAAGTGAGAAAGAAATTTTTTATCATTTTTTATTAGAAAAAACAACAGATTAGAAGTTTGCAATCAGAATAAAATATTTTGCAAATTAACAGAAAAATGATAAAAATTTCATAACAATAAAAAGAAAATTGTGCACCCACCTCCTGCATTTTGAATGGAATACTCGTGACAGTTCCACGGACATGAATTTGCCGAAAAAGAGCTGCCTCAGTGAGTCCTTCTTTGTTAAGGCCAAGTAAATCACAGACTTTGCTTATAATTTCTGTGTCAGTCTCAGTTAACTGACACTTCTCTCCATCAATGTCCTCAAACTGTAAATTTCCCAGCAGTAAAATGGCAGAGATGACTGAGAATATACCACTGACCATGTTGAGGGGGATACTCAGTACACCAAAGGCAAGACGCAAAGCATCAAACATCGTCACATCATTGTGACCATCCAGTTTATAGCACCCACTTTGGTTCAAGTAATTATATGATTCCATATTTTGGATAAAGTACTGTTCTTTTATCTCAGGATTTGCAGCAGCACCAGCAACAATCTGATAAAATACATGGTAGTTCCGTTCATTGGGAGACTGGAATGTGATACGAGACTGTTCTAACAAATAGTCTTGAATAATACACCCAATGATCTGGTATTTGTCATCAAAACAAACTTGCATAAATTTGCCAAACCGACTAGAGTTGTCATTTCGTACTGTCTTTGCATTGCCTGAAAATAATAAAACATTAACATTAAAATAATATTTCGTCAAATATTACTAATTTAAAAAAAAAAAATTATTTTCTGTTGTCAATTTACATCTAAATAACATTAAAATTTAGTAAAGAGTTGAATAGATCCCTCCATAAAGATTTTAGCTTTGAAAGAGGAAAAACTATTTTCAGAAATATAGTTTTTAAATATTATTACAGTGCCAAATGCATATACAAAATACTTACTATAATACTGAGATTATTATCATCCAATTATATTGATTTCATATTTCAGAGAGAACAGCATGAATGTAATCGTGTATGATAAATTGGTTCAATTTCCTCAATTATTTAAATTCTCATCTACAATAAACAAAGCTCAATTCTAATGCTCTTGAAATTTCTTTTTTAAGTCTTTTATAAATAACTACATCCAACAAAAACACAAACAAAAAAGAGTAGTATTCAATTCTCATATGAAATTACCCTACATGACATTATCTCAACCAAAGACACGCATCTGCTCACTCATTAATTCTACAGTAGAACTTTGTTGAGATTGGTGTTAGAAATCCATAAATCTCCAGTGATCTTTTACCCAAATAGATGAACAACAAACTTGAAAGTGGAAAATAGAAAAAAAGAAATTATTAAAAAGACAGCTATGTGATTCCAGTCGAAATGATAGGAATAAATGACTCCTTAAATGATAAGAAAGAAAAAGAACATTTCAAAATAGCATGAGACTATTCAACATGGTTAACATGAAAATATTTACTAAAAAGAAGTTCCTAAGAAAAAAAATTCATTTCTGTTAAATTACATTGTTGGATGTGCAAATAAACAAATAAAAAAAAAAAAGAATAGCATTATGATCTGGTTCAGTCAATAACAGTCATCCACTATGAAACAAACAAATTCAAGGATAAGAAATCAGTGCCTCTTACAAAACTTTCATTAAATTATGACCCTAGTCAAGCATGGTTTCAAAGTTTAAATACATTAATGATTAATATATTTCTTAGAAATTTCTACAAATGCACCATCTTCAAAAACTCTTTGTTGGGGCGCACCCACCTTCTAACTAGTAATGGACTGGTCCCTCTTATATAAGTCAGCTCTGGGGAGAGAGTCAGCGTTAGCAGTCCAGATAAGCTTACCCGGTACATACCGTTGGACTATAGACTTTGGATATTGTTTCGTACTAACCAACCTTCGTTCTACTAATCACTCTATTGTTAATTGCTTTTATGAATATACCAGTATTTTCCTCTACAACTGTGTTTGTCTTGATTCATACACCAACACGTGGGAAACTCACAACATCTCAACACTCTTTAAATTTCTTTCAGTTTTAACGGGTGTTTTTCTCAAGTCAATTTTAAGAACCATACAGCATTAGAGTTGGGCTTTGTTTACTCTATACTTTTCAACAAGTGATGATAATGATCATTTCAGTTTTAGTATAATACCATTTTATTAAGGGACTTCCAGGCAGTTCTGTAAATATTTGCTCATTAAATACATTACTCTTTCAAATTATATAATAACCATATTTCTCTAATGTCCAGAATACTCTGAGGATCAAACCAAGTGATATAAATTACATGTTATCTTTTCCTCAATTTAACACTGAGTATCAACAGTTGTTTTAAATCTTCAATTTTGAAATGACATGCTCAGTGCTGATACAGTAAATGAAAATCAAAGTTAATTTTTATTATATAACTAGCAGCATGGCCCGGCACTGCCCGTGCTTGATTAAAAAATCGTACGACTCATACAGCAATCGCTATCACTTGACTTAAAATATTTTTGCCCTTCCTTGCCTTTAAAGGAGTGCCCTTTGCTGTGCTGATGTTGCTACATGCCTTACTTCTTGCCTCTCTCACACTGCAAATTTTTTCTAAGCTCTATACTAAACATTAAATCTGTTACGAAAAAAGAACTAAACAAAATGAACACAAAACGATCAGCTTTAAAAAAAGGACTTGTAACTGGAAAAACCAAATGAAAAAAGAATGTTAACAACAAATACTTTTTCACACCCAACCCAGTTCTGTGGAATCAGAATCAACGTTGAGTTTAAGCAAGCAAATGAGCCAATTGGAGTAAAGTGCCATGCAGATTTAAATTTTTCCCCACTTGTGACGAGTGCAGCTATCGATTTTTTTTGCATGCTAGCATGCTAGTTAACATTCATGTCAGTCAGCTGTTGGCTCTCACACTAGCCAATAGAATCTTCCTGCCTATTCATGGCAGCCAGCTATTGGCTCTCACTCTTGCCAGTACAAAATGGCCACAAACTACATGAAAACTGCCGTAGAAGCATGAAAAAATCGATTATTTGCACTATCAATGAAAGTTGGGAAATGCAAAATTGGTCTTGGCCTTCCCGCTAACTTGGCCTTCCCGCTAACTTGGAGCATGTGTATGTAAATTTTGGTGCAAATCCATTGAAAATTGCGGCCATGCATTTGTTACACACACACACACATCCTGCCTTCTATAGATAGAGATGATATAAAAAATAATAACTTACTCAAAACATTGTATGTCATCAGACAAACATCTTAAATGATGACTAAAATAATTAAAAAAGAAATTACTTTTTTACATTATTAAATATCCATATTGAAAACCTTAGTAACATAACCAACTATGCAACAGCTATGAAAAGACCAAAATCCAATCATTATGAGTAATTTTCTATGTAATTAGAGCCACTCTTATGTCAAGCCTCAAGCAAATTCAAACAATTGAATTAGTGAAACTAGGTCAACAACTTTCAAGATGCTGAAACATTGCTCAAAGGAGATGAAGACAGAAAATTGAATTTGAAGTTGAATGTAACCTGAAGAATGTTATGCCAAAAGCAAGCAAGAGAAAGAGTTTTTGAATAAAACAAAATAGTTGAAAGTGTCAATAAATACTGTTATATCAAAGATATCAAAGAAAAGTGGTATTGAAGGAATGAAAAATAAAAATATAAAACTGTGTACAAGAAAGAAACAAGTATATGTTGAGTTGCTTGTATTGTAAGAGGGGGTAATGAAAAGTTCTCGACCCAACCCATTTCCCAAAATCTGACAAAATATCAGAATTATTTTAATCCCTTCTTAGTCAGGCCCAAAACTTTTCAACACCTCCTCATTGGCTGATTTTAATCTCTCACTGCTCAACAAGTTAATATAATAAATAAAAATCTGAGGAATCCAGAAAATAGCAACTTTAGCTATTATATTATTTAATCATTATTTCACATGTTATCTGTCCTAATAGTATAATGTATAGTATTTTAAAATATTGATTTTTAAAGAAACCTAATCTGATACAGTGTCATGTTTATGGAGCACCAATAATGGTTTGAAATTGTTGGCATAAATATTTAAAAATGCATTCAATAGTACAGGTATTGTTAGGAAAAAAATGAATAATACCAGTCTGACATTATGCTTGAAGAAAAATACCTATAGTATAGATATAGATCTGTGCTTTTTCACTTCATACTTGAAGAATTCTTTAGAAAAAGAAAATAACAATAACCTATTATTGATTCTTTGAAAATTCTTAAAAAAAGACAAACAGGAGAAAGAAAATAAAAGAAAACAGAAATACTGAAGGAAAGAAACAGTAAAAAAAAGAACAAAAAAAGAACGAAAGAAAAAAGAAAGACTAACAATTGAAGCACAGAACAAGAAAAAGAAAATTAAAGAAAAAGCCATTAAAAATATAAATGCTTACAGGAAAAAATAACTCGTACATTATTTTATCTAAATATGAAAAAGTAATCTCTGACTCTGCAACAGGTTTATTATATTGTATCTCGATTGCTTTGCAAAAATTAATTTCTTTCATTTTTTCACTAAGCCCTTCAAGAAATTAAAAAGAAACGAGTAAAATAAAGTTGTTTATTCTCAAAATATGCATTGAAATACAAACATTAAAGAATCAAGACATGATTAAGAGTGTTAAACTTTTGTTACTTTAACTTTTTCTTTAAAATTTATTTCAGTAATAAAATTTAAAATAGTCATATTTTAAAATATCAGTAATAGTCATATTTTAAAATTCAGTAATAAAATTTAAAATAGTCATATTTTTGCAATAAATACCATACCATATACAATATTTCTTCAGTGTTGAAAGACTAAAAATATTAAATCATTCTTACTCAGTTATTTTTTTATTTTTAAATGTTAAAGATTCTTAATTAATAATTTCAAAACCACAAACAGTGATCATTTACAAGTTTTTGATAGGCTTTCGTATAATTAAAAGTTTTCATAACTCATACAAATAAGAATGATTACCAATAGATTATATTTCTAATGGCACACCAGGACAGACTTCTCAAAGAAGAACAATCCCTACCAAATTGGGACACATAGTGAGCCTACTTTATCTGCATATTATTTAACAGAGTTACTGGTGTGTATTTTACAAACAAGTGGTGATCAGTTGAAATGGAAATTGATAAGTTAGCGTGAAAATCCTAGATAGCCAAGCTAAATATTCTAGATTTTACTAGTATACCAGAAGAACCGTAGGATCTGGTTTTGCTAATAGACTGTTATAGAAATGAAAAGCATTTAATTACAATAAATTGAATTAATACCTGGAATTTTCTGGGTTTGAACTCGTGACTTAACAGGATTTTGACTAGTAGAATCAAGCAAAATACAAACAAACTACCAAAACAACTACCTTCATCCACTAGAAAAATGACAACTGAAATCAACCAAATCACCCAACTAGGTGGAATCATGGTCAGAATTCAGTAAAGGAACATTATTTTTTTAATACTACTCCACTATATGGGTGGTTCAGCTGATCCTGTAACCAGAAGATAAATTTCCCTGATTCTGTTACAATATTCATATGCAAATCAAGTAACCTGACACTTGAAAAAAACATGTTTCTAATAAATACAAGGACCTACCACAAGATGTGACAATAGAGTAATAGTTGGATATTTATCAGAGTTGTCCACAGGAATTCAGGACAAGATGTAGC